CAACAGCATGAAGATTGGCTCACAGGTAGATGTTAGGTGAGAAATGAACCTAGCAATGTAGTTTAGGCGTCCCAAGAAACCTCTAACCTCCTTCTCAGTGCGAGGAGCAATCATTTCTTGTATAGCTTTGACTTTGGCAGGATCAACCTCGATGCCCTTGTTGCTGACAATGAAACCCAAGAGTTTATCGGACCGGACTCCGAAGGTGCACTTGTTAGGGTTCAGTCTGAGCTTGTACTCCTTCAACCTGACAAACAACTTTTGCAGATGGTTGAGGTGTTCTTCTTCTGTTTGTGATCGGGCTATCATGTCATCTATGTAGACCTCTATATCATGATGTATCATATCATGAAACAAAGCTACCATGGCGCATTGATAGGTTGCCCCGACATTCTTCAGTCCGAATGGCATCACTTTGTAGCAGATCATACCCCACTGTGTAACAAAAGTAGTTTTCTCCATGTCTTCAGGTGCCATTTGATATGGTTGTACCCTGAAAATCCGTCCATGAAAGAAAATACCTTGTGCTGAGCTGTATTGTCAACCAAGATGTCAATGTGCGGTAGTGGAAAGTCATCTTTAGGGCTGACCCTGTTTAAGTCTCTATAATCCATGCACATTCTCACTTTGCCGTCCTTTTTAGGCACAGGCACAATGTTAGCAACCCATTGTGGATAGGAAGTAACAGCAAGAAATCCAACATTAAACTGCTTCATAACTTCAGCTTTGATCTTTTCAGACATGTCGGGCCTCATGCGACGGACTTTCTGTTTAATTGGTGGACAATCTTCTCTTGTGGGTAGACAGTGTACCATAATTTCTGTATCAAGTCCCGACATGTCTTCGTATGACCAGGCAAAGATCTTAACATATTCATTCAAAAGCTGAATTAAACGCTCCTTAACACTTGGCTCTAGGTTGGCACCCACTCTGACTTCTTTTCTGTCTGCCTCAGTACCCAGGTTGATTGTCTCTAACAGCTCCTCATGAGGTAGAATAACCCTTTCTTCCTGTTGTAGCAGTCTTGCCAATTCTCCTGGAACCTCACAATCTTCCTCACCTTCGTATTCGACATGGTAGACCAGATCTTCAGAGTCACTGAAGGCCATAGCAGAATTGTTACCCATGGAATCCGGAATGGAAGGGTACCTGCAATTGTGAGTGTGGGTGTGTGTAAGGGATAGCCACCTTTAAACAAATGAAATGTAAAAAGAAAGACAATGAACACAAAAGTTTATATGTGAAAACGTCCATGATTCATTAAAATGGCATATGAAGATGAAAAATCAAACCCTTACAAATGAACCTATGTGCCTCGTGTAAGGTACAAGGTTAAAAGTGTACAAATTGTTTGAGAATTATTACAAACCAACCGAAATGTTTGAAAGATAAATTACTGATTTATGAAAGTAACATGAACAAAGTCTTTTGCTTCCCAATTGCACAGTCCTCTGTCAACAGTAGGGAAAATCCAGTCTTCCAAGTTGCTCTCCTCTTCACTATCCTCCAAAGCACTGACTCCATGATGGGTAATCTTCACTGGTGGCCCTCCGGAACGGGAGCGACGCACAACCTTCTGACTAGCCGAAGTGAAACCCAAGCCGAATTTATCAGATTTGAAAGGAAAGTTGGGAAGCTGCCCCCAGATTGTGGATCCACCTTCTTCAATCACAACCTTTGCATCTTTGGGAGACGACATCCAAGGTGGAGGTCTGGTAATCAGGGGTACAGAAGTCTTGGTTGCCGCAATCTCCTGAGCTACCTCTTCAAAATGTTGAAAAGGGGTTTCGATGAATTCGCCATCCAATTCAACATAGCGGAAAGAATTTAGATGGCTTATCATGTATTCCTCTTTGCCGTGAACAATTATAATTTTCCCTTGGACAAGGTACTCGAGCTTTTGATGCAGAGTAGAAGTGACAGCTCCAGCATGGTGAATCCAGGGTCTTCCCAACAAGCAAGAGTAGGAAGGACGGATGTCCATCACGTAGAATATGGAGTTGAAGATTTCAGTTCCCACTTTAATCAGGATGTCCACCTCCCTGTGGACCATCCTTTTGGAACCATCAAAGGCTCTGACAATAATGTTGTTGGGTTTCAGTGTTAGGCCTTCACAATCTAACCTATCCAACGCCTTCTTTGGCAAGACGTTCAGCGATGAACCAGTGTCTACCAGTACGTGTGCTAGAGTAGTCCCTCTACATTCCACCAAGCCATGCAAAGCATCATTATGTTTTCTCCTTTTTGATGTTAAATCGGCATCGGAGAATCCTAGACCATTGTCAGCTGTTAAGCTAGCTACACATTCCTGGAACTGATCCACGAAGGTTTCCTGTGGCACATGGGCCGTCTTCAAAAATCTGATCAAAGCTTTAGCATGAGCTTCTGAACAAAGCAGCAAAGCCAACATAGAGATCTTTGAGGGGGTTTGCCCCAGTTGTTCCACAACATCATAATCGCTTTTCTTGATTATTTTCAAAATTTCTTCCATTTCTTTTTGATAGGTTTCTGGGATGATCAACGGCTGAGCCCTCGTCCTGACGGGCTCTTCTTGGATTCCTTTCTCTCTATCATCAGCAGCAGCAATGGAGACAACCAAATGAGTTAAAACTTCTTCAATAATTGGAGTTCTCGCAAATGTGTTTACCGGTGTAGGGGTAACCTTAGGAGCAGCTGAGGGTCCAAAGATTGCCTTTGGAGGGGCAATCTCTGGAGAGAAAATTCTTCCACTGCGGGTGATTTTGCTCGTTCTAGCAATGTTTCCAATGTCAGAAGTCTCTTCATCAGAACTCTCTTCAGCTGATTCAATTTGTTTAACACCGTGGTAAAAGATCTCTCCCCCATAGTTCCACGGTATTGATTTGTCGGACTTGTACGGGACGGGCCCGGGCATGGTTATCTTCAAAGGTACAGTCTTCAGATCGGATGTAATCTTAACAGGCCTTTTGGAGACCTTGGAAAGATTGGCGGATATGGAAATTATTGAAACATCATTGACAGGAGTCGGTGTAACAGGAGTCTTTTCAAAAAGGATTTCTTGGTTATCCATTAGGCGTTGGATGCCTAACTTCAACAATGGACAGTCGGTTGGTAAGGATGAACAAAGGCAACAATCTTCTTCACAACCTGGGTGTTGTACCCCAATTTTTGACCTAAGATCCCATTTTTATTTTTGCATTTTTAAAGATAAGTCAAGGTCACGAAATACAGTCGATTTTAACCTCTCACCTTCGAGCTTTGACTATGCGAAGATTGTCAAGTGTTTTGAACATTTTTAGCCTATGTATCACTAATTTCTAATCGCATACAAAGGTGTATGTTCATGTTTTCTTTTGTGTCATGTGCAGAGACAGGTCTGAATCAAGAGCATCAGGTGTCGCGCCTCAATTAAGGTTTTGAGTCTCCCAAGTCAAAAGTACGGTTGATTATGGATTCTCGAAGACTGATTCATCAAGGCACACCGTTGCACCCTTAATTTCGCCCCTAATTTTTTCAGTCGCACATTCATACCATATTTTGTCATTTGGTCACAATCATTAGTAAATATCTTCATTCATCACATTTTGCATCATTAGTCGTATTTAAGTTGATCAGAAAAAGTCAGTTTGCATCGTCTTTCAGTTGTAAAATACCCGGCATTTTGCTTCATGCATTTTTATCTATTTACTCATTTGTTGCATTGCTCCAATTTGTTTATATGTCAATAATAAAAATATTTTGGTTTTATAGACAGACTGTTAAAAGCGATTCAACAATGTGCGAAAAATAGCGAGAAAAATATTTCAAGTTTTCACCTTTTACCGATCATTTTATGAATCTGCGCTTTGTGTAGATTATGACGGTATGCTCGCTTTATTTTTTGGTACAGTTCGAAGTCTCGTTTTTAACCTTAGACGGCTGTTTAGTTTGATATTTTTTATTATTATTTTATTTTTGATTTTTGACTTCTTGAATATTTTTTCTTTAATTTTTGTGACATGTAGATTATTTTAATGTGTTCATTTTGTTTTTCGGATAAATTTTCGTCCGTTTTTTATCATTTTGGGTCTTTATTTTTTTATTCATAAAATATTCAAAAAAATCATTTTAAATTGAGTTATTTTTTATAATTTCAGGTTTTATTTTATTTTTGTCATTCAGGGACTTTTTGGTCACAAAAAATATTAATTAGGCTTCGCTTAATTCTCATTGGTCGATAGCATAGTTTACGGATTGATAGAGATTGAATTCTCATTGGTCGAAAGCTTGGTTTGCGGATTGATAGAGATTGAATAATATTGAACGGTCATGATTTAATTTTGAAAGCATATACTCCTCATCATTTTCTTATTTAAGTAACCTCTTTTATCACTTTGTAGGGGGGAACAAAAAAGGCATAGCAGAAAACAACTCATACCTCTTCTCTCTTTCCAACGTTGCAATTCCCTCTCTCCCATTTCATTTTCTCAAATTTACTCACTCATAACTTGTTTTTTTTATACCTATACATGGATCACCACCACCAAGTACTATTGATTTTTTTTTCATTCTTATTAACAATTCATTTATCAATATCAGTGTAATTTCAACAACATTCACATTTGTTAACAAATGTGACTACACAGTCTGGCCAGGACTTCTCTCCATTCCGTAAGTTCACCAACAACAACACCTTGTTTTCACGGTCATCACCTTCCATCTCCTCCCGGCACAACCTCCCTCTCCGCCGTCAATACAAACCGGAACCACCCATAAATTTACCTCACAATATCCCTCACGATACAACCTTCTCTTCAAACATCCACAACAACCCATACTCCCTTCTCTTCACCGAATACCGCAACACCACTAACATTCCTTACCCACCTTCTTCAATCCCTCTCTCAATCAAACACCACTTCGTATCTCCAACAAAACCTTTAACACTATAACTCCAACAAGTAATTCTGTAAATAAACAATCTTGCAATTAATATCAAAATCAATCCAATAACCAATTCACCAAGTCAACATCAACCTGTAATGAAAACCAGATCGAAGAGAATAAGGAAAAGAAGAGAGTTGCAAGATCCTTCAACATCGACACTGCGAATTCACTCTGCAATCTATCTCCGCCACTGTTGCATCTCGACGAGAACGCTCCGTCAACCTCTGCGAACACCGCGGATCTACTCGCCGGACCCCACTCCTCCGGAATCACCCTTTACGGCCGCCGCCCATCAGAACGCGACCACCAGCCATCGCCACGCCGCGACCAACACCACCCAGATCTTCCGTACTCGCCGCTCAGCCGTCATCGTCGCCTTGTAGTCGCCCTCTGTATCTATCGACCACTATCATTAAGGAGAAGGTGAGTATGTCTTTTTGGCCATTTGTTATACATGATTTTTGTTAGGCTTATGGGTTGTTTTAAAAGATGAAGAAAGATTGGGATTTGATGAAACTTAGAAAAGTGAGTTTAGAGAAACTCGTTGGAAGAAGAAATGAGAGAAGAATGGAAGGTAAGTAAAACACTTTTTTTCTCTCTCTAATATTATTTTTATATAATGTTTGTTTTATTTTATTTTTTCCTTCACATTTGCCACGTGTTAGCATAGGTGTGGCTGCAATTTCATTTTGAAGTGATCAACATTTTCTCCAATAAGTAGTCCGTCTCCTCTCCACTCTTTACCACATGATTTTTTGTTGTTATTATTTTTTCAAATATCTATTATCATTATTACATTAGCTTAGGATTAATTTTAGTTAGTTTTGAAATAGGTACACTATATTTTAACCTAACAGTAAACCTCATTATGTACAACTAATTTTTATTTTTCAATTTTTCAATTTTTAGTTTTGATTTAAGATAGTAATTTTATTATTAAATAGTTTAGATTAACTTAGTAATTTTATAATGAATTTAGTTTATACTTAAACTAGTTTAGATTTAATTTAACAACTTTAGAATTTTAATTTTACAATTTAATAATTTTATAATTAACTTAATTTATATTTAAATTAGTTTAGATGTAATTTAGTAATTTTAGAGCTTTAATAGTTTTAGAATTTCATTTGATTTAGATTTAATTTAATAACTCTAGAATTTTTATTCGATTTAGATTTAATTTAGTAACTTTAAAATTTTCATTTTGGTTTAGATTAAATTTAATAACTCTAGAATTTTTATTCGATTTAGATATAATTTAGTAACTTTAGAATTTTATTTGTTTTAGTTTTGACTTAGTAAATTTTAGAATTAGATTTTATTCCATTTAGATTTGACTTAGTAAACTTTAGAATTAGATTTTATTTCATGATTTGACTTAGTAAACTTTTAGAATTTTATTTGATTTATATTTAGTTTAGTAACTTTGGAACTTTCTTTGTTTTAGGTTAGCAACCTTGGAATTTCTATTTAGTTTAGATTTAATTTACTAATTTTAAAATTTTTAATCTAGTTTAGATCTAACTTAGTAATTTTAGAATTCTAATTTATTTTAGATTTAGTTTATTAACTTTAGAATTTTAAGTTAGTAATTTTATAATTTTAATTTAGTTTTAGTTATTAACTTTGAAATTTTATTCAATTTAGTTAGACATTTTAGAATTTAAATTTAGTTTACTTAGTAACCTTAGAATTTCAAATTAGTTTAGATAATTTTTTAATTATACTTTTCTTTTATTCATGATTCTTCTTTGTCCATTCATTTAGTTTTTTTACAATTTATCTTGTTATCTACCTTGTTCGTTTCTCGTGGATTTTAATTATTTATGATTTCTTACTCGAATATTAGATCTACCTGCTTATGATTAACTCCAAGGGAAAGAATCAAATTTGTTGACTTCATGTCACCGAACATATCTCATACGATTGCGCGAACCCCTTCATTCATTTTTTTTTTTTTTTTTTTTTTTTTTTTTTTTTTTGCTTGTTTACTATTTTGCTAAACTTAAGATAATTTTCCCAAAAGACTCCATTTTTAAAACTCACCCCTTTTTAAGTCAAAACTTCGACACTAGGTCGTCGTATCTTCAAAATCTTTCCAACACCGATTTTTAGCCAAACGAACCATTTTAATCGAACAAACAATTTTAACCAAAAAAACAGATATTTCAAAAGGTTCCTGCGGAGTACCGCAGATGCATTGGGTGCTAATACCTTCCCATTGTATAACCAACCCCCGAACTCTCGATCTCTTTCAAAAACGCATTGTATTTTTATTACTTTTAAGTATTATTTTACATCGCATATTTTAGGGTTTTATTTCGTTCTTTTCCCTTTTCCCTTGGAAACAATAAAGCGCGGTGGCGACTCTTGCTTTTGCGAGTCAAGTTAATTAATAGCTTGATCTCCGATTTTCACCGCTACACTGGGAAAATCCCAGCCCTCAGCAAATTCAACTTGATTATCGGTAGCAGAGTCATCAAATCATCAACAGTAGCAACAAAAAGATCTTCTTCGATAGCATGGGCATTGTGACCATGTTTTGGCATTGGAGCAGAGATCACATTCGGCTTTTCAGGGGCGTCGAATTCAACTTCTTTAGCGTCTATTAAATCCTGAATCTTGTTTTTGAGGGCCCAACAAGTATTGGTGTCGTGCCCCAGGCTGTCTGAATGATAAGCACACTTGGAATTCGCATGGTAGTAAGGGGAGGATGTATTCGGATTCTTCGGGGCCTCTTTCAAACTTGCAAGGTTTAACTTTAAGAGATGGGGTAGAACCTGAGCGGGAGTCATGTTGATCCGGGTGAATTTCCGTACAGGCCTTTCCACCCTTGCTTGGTTGGTTCCGGGTTGATTGTTTCTAGGCTGACCAATTGTAGACTTCTGAATCATTACAGCCCCCACCGTTGGCCGGCACTCAACTCTTCCTTGACCTCTTTGGGAGTAGACAACTGAGACTTCTTTCTTTGCTGGAAAAGTCTTTTTGATGGCAGTGGAAGCAGATGCATCCTTTTGAATTTTTCCGCTCTTGATTCCGGTTTCAACTCTCTCACCAGTTAGAATTAACTCGTTGAACCCCGCAGACGAACTTCCAATCAGGTGATTAAAGAAAGGACCTGAAAGAGTCCCCAAGAACATATCCACAAGCTCTCTTTCAGACAATGGTGGTTGTACTCGTCCCGCCAAGTCTCTCCATTTCTGGGCATACTCTTTGAAACCTTCATTTGAGACCATGCCCATACTCTGTAATTAAGTACGGGTTGGTGCTAAGTCCGTATTATATTGATACTGTTTGTAGAATGCAACCGCCAAATCTTCCCAATTATGCACATCAGACCTCTCCAACTGGTAAAACCAATCCAGCTGCGTCCCTGATAAACTGTCCTGGAAGAAATGGACCCACAGATCCTTGTCAGAAGAATGTGGTTGGATTTTCCTGATGTAAGATCGCAGGTGCATCTTGGGACAAGACAAACCATCGTACTTAGCAAATATAGGCACCTTAAACTTGGGGGGAATTACAATGCCATAAACCAGCCCTAACTCTTCAAAGTACAGCCCAGGCACCCTCTATATCTCCATGGCAGCTAGACGCTCTTCCAAGTTCTTGTATTTGTCATCTGCAGAAGGGTACTGCTGTTTAGAATAGTCTTCATCCTCTTCTTCTTCTTCTTCCTCAGAGTCAGATGGCAATGCAGTCTCTTTACCCTTTCTCACCCCTTCATCAGATGTTGAGGGGAAATCCAGGACCCTTCTAGCTTGACCTTCAAATCTTCTACCCATGGTGGCCACACCAGCCCTCTTCTTTTTATTTTTCTCTTTTTCCTTTTCCAGTAAGGTTTTGAGCTCCTCCTGCCCCTTTGCCAAGGTCAGAAGTAGCTGTTGAAAATGTGAATTATGCGCTTGTAAGTCTTTAACCGTCTGCTCAATATCCATCTTGCTGAAATAAACAGCAGAGAGATAAGGAAACCTGGTGTGAATACCTGTTTATGCATATGATGAATGGTATGTATTCATGTAATGCATTCAAGGATTCAGAAATTCAAATTTGTTTTAAACAAAAAAGGAACACACGTCATATTAATAAGATAGAATTTGTTAGTACATCAATGCCCCATGGGCAAAATAATACAAAATTCTAAGGTAAAAAGACGTTGCGCATCCTATTTGGTGCAATGTAGGTGTTGAGAGTCTGATCTTCGTGAAGTTGACGAGTAAGTTCCAAAACCTTCTTCTCGCTAGCGTAGAATTGGGCTTCAAAAGTATCGCGCTCTCCCTTAAGCTATATCCAACTCCTTTGTAAATCTTCGAGTGATGTTAGAATGTCAGGATGTAGGAGGGTGTATGGAACCTCTCCTTCCATAACAGGCTCTTTGATCACAGGGAGAATGTAGGGGTAAGGCATCATAAGACTTTGGGCGCGGGTTCATACCCACTTGAGGTAAGGCTCAAGGGGGATGTAATTCTTGTGTCCCAAGGTCTTACTGTCCACCTTGTTGGGCATTCTCCAAGCTCGGATAAACCTTTGTCGGAGTCCTTGATCATCGTTGTCGAAGTCGAAAACCAAGTCTGGAATCATCATGTCATGTGGGCCATCCCTTCGGGCATACCCAAACTGTCTCAGAGCCAAGCAGGGGTTGTAGGTAATGCCTCCCCTAATGCCTAGTAGAGGGACATTAGGGAATTCCCCACAATGGTCAATGATGATAACATTCTCTTTTGATCGAGAACACCAATGAATATCTGAATTTGTAAGAGTCATCAACCGTTGTGACCACCTCAAACCTTGCTCATTCTTCAAGATTGATTGTGGAAGATGAGAAATAAACCATCTTGCCAGTAGAGGAGTGTAACACATGAGAACACCTTTTTTCCTCATTGTACGAGTGTGAAAAGAGTGGAGGATATCCCCAAGCAATGTAGGCACCGGGTTGCGAGCCATGAAGATTTTGACAGCACTAACATCTATGAGTTGGTCAGGGTTAGGGAACAAGACCATCCCATAGATGAGAAGAGCTACAATCTCCTCAAAAGCTTGAAGGTCCAAAGAATTCCATCAGCTTTGGGCCTTCTCAAACAGAAACTTTGCCAAGAAACCCTTGACACCACTTCTAGTTTCCCAATGGCCTATGACATCAGATGGTTGCAAGTGCAGGGCTTGAGCTACATCTTCAGGCTTTGGATCTCTTTCCGTACCTTTGAAGGGTAGTTGATGGAGAATAGTAATCCTCATGAGTTGAGAAAATTCCTTCAAAGTAGGCACTAGCTGGTAATCAGGAAATGTGAAGCAGTGGTGTAGGGGGTCAAAGAACTGGAAGAGAACTTTCACCATGTCTTCCTCAGTGTTGGCAGTGACTAAGTTGAGAAGACGACCATGCCTC